GGTGACTGACACAGAGCTGGTTGAAAATTTCCCTTTAAGGCATACAGCTGTTGGATTATTATGCTTGATTTTCTATCAGAACCTTTTGTATATCTCACAAATCAATATATTTTTATAAACCTTGACAGGGTCTTTTAAAATTTAGAGCTGAAACAAAACAGATGATCATACCAAAGAATACCAGAATTCAATACTTCTATCTGCAAGGCAAACTTTCAAGAAAAACAAATATGACAACTGCTTCCAAAAACTGAATATCTCAGACTAGATGAAGCCACATCTTATAAATGTGGCAGCGGCATGCACCAGTGGCAGTGACTACTAATGTACTGATCCATTCCCCTTCACACAAGCTTCTATAATATTATCATTATAATGTTCACCGATTCTTGGTTTTAACTTGCTTAATTAGTTTCCCTAAAGATTAAGTTTAGTCACACTTTACTCCTAGTGCATCAATTATCAAATCATAATCGTCTTTTTTTAATCACTAAAAATTGAATCACAAGTGGCATAGGACTGTTAATGTTTCCATAGTGTTTTCTTTTGTGGGGCCATTTTACTGACAGTTCTTGCCTCCCTACGTGCAAATGTTCCAACAAAACAAGTACACCCCCAACACTATTTTGCAAGAGCACTGTGGCTGCAGCGATCGCTGGGTTTAGTGCTGCCCAAGACAACTGTGAATGGTTTAAAGAAACAGAGGCAATGCTGTGTTTTTTCCCTATAGCAGAAAGATAATCAGTGATTCCACACCTCTTCTCTAGCGCTGACATAACACTGTGGAGAAAGAACGGACTATGCAAAACTACTGAACTCTGCTTGCTGTAGTACAAGGTGAATTCTGCATCATTTTATCTCAAATGTGGCATTCTACAAGGTTGAATCCTAGTCCCTCTCATGGAAACATCTGTGAGACAAATATTTTTTTCAAAAATGTCCGCTGTTATGCAGATGATACTCAGGTTTATCTATAAAACCAGGAGATTCCAGGACCCTAAACTGTGGAATAAATTTACCAAATCTGGCAAAAACATGTATGAATTCCTTATTTTGCTTCCTATAATATACTATCAAGAAGATTCTGGGTAACACCTAAGAACAAATCTAAAAGTGTATTTGGTCCAGACCTGTGTTAAGTAACATCTTTTAAGGCACAGTGGGGTCTGGCTCCTAGTTAAATATTTATTAGAGTGCAAGTTTGGTTTGAAGTGCTGTATAAATAAATATGTATCTCAATGAAAATAATTAAAAAGTAGCACAAACTCCATACTAATAAAATTACTCACTGTTACATACTTCATACTAATAAAATTAAATTTTGTACAAATTCAAATTATTATGGCACTTATTCAGGACAGTAAGCCATTTTAGTCTTTTGTCACCAAAGATTTTAACAGTAGGGAGTGCTGTTTCAAAGAAACAAAAGAAAAAAAATCTGTATGCCTTAAGCAAAGCGTCACCAGGATTTTTTTGTCTTGTGGCAACAATTAAATACAACATGTAGACAAACATGCACATGCACAGCACTTCTTGATAACAGCATATCATTACATGTACATTAAAAAGTATGCAGTTTGTTAGAACAGTTTAGGTTCTGAATCAGTACAAAACAACCCTGTTTACCAGTGTTTTTTACCAGTAGCCCAGACACCCAGGGCTCATGTGCTGACCTGGGTCAAAATGCCTTTGTGAATCATTCTTAACAGTGATTTTAACAAGCTTCAAGTATCAGATGGGTGGGTGTAGCCATTACAGACCACAAAATACATAACCAAAGTAACAAGTTGTCACCTTTAAATGCATAGTTGTGGAAAAAATTGTTGCTGTTGTTGAGCTGGAAGGAAAACTTGACCTGGGGTCCGTTTCACAAAGCAGGTTCAACAAACTCTGAGTCTAATCCTGAACTCTGAGTTGATCTACTCTGAGATAGGAAACTCTGAGTTTCCGGTTCCAGAACAGCTGATTTGAATCAGTTTAATCAACTCGGAGTAGTTTCACCTGGAGTTAAGCACGTGCACCACAACTATAAAAAGCCAGCATCAATGGAGCCCCGATTCGACGAGTCACCATGGCAATGGGGATGGGGAGGGCTGCGTTTTTCACCCCACTAGAATAAGAAATCTTAATGCACTCATACTGCGAGTTTGAACACATTTTCAAAAAGAAGTGCAACACCGCTGCAGCTGCAAAAGAGAGGGCGACGGCGTGGGAGAATGCATAAGTTTAAATGTAGTCCTTTGCAATCACAACAATATTACAGGGGAAAACTGCTTGAATGGTAGCCTATTTGTTTATTTCATTTAGGTGCAATCCCGCGGGGGAGAAGCGCACTTGGCAGCAGTTTAGGATGAAATATAAAAACATTGTTCAAACAGGTAAGACCTCGGCATAATCTCATGGGGGTACCTCATTTTGATCGTGTTTTACATTGTAAAGTAAATATTAAGTGGCTGTTTGACTGTGCAGTTGTTTTATCCCCAACATAATGCTGTTTTCACACACATAAATGTCTTCTCATCTATATCATGTTCTGTTAAATAATCAAGCCTATTTAAACTAACACAGACTTCTACTCAGCCAACAGAAAGAAGGCAGATGCCCGTAAAACGATCACACTTTTCTGACCGCCCTGCATACAGTTGCCTTACTCAAGTGCTCAGCGTCTCATTCAGTCATTGTACAAAAAACTTCCATTTGCAAAGAAACGCAGCGCAGCACACAATATCTGCTGGGATGTGAGAGCATGACTACGATTGGTAATCTTGCAAATGTAAGGACGGATTAGGTTGTGTATGTAGATGATGGACTGTGACGTGAAACGGTACCGCTCAAAAAGATAATTGTGTGGAAATGCTAAAACATCTATGCGCGGTCTGATAACCATCTCCCGACGAATATTTAATTCTCTGCGCAGTAATGAAACAACTTCATCCACGGGATCGTTATCAAAAGGACATGCCATGTTAGAAAAAAAAGTCACCACCTACTGTGCCTAATGGACTTCTAATATACTGACTCTGATTTTTTTTTTTATGATTTTTTTAAAAGACAGACGGCAGAACTAGGCTATGCCAAAACTCGCCTGCTGACTGAATGAATGAGGAAATCAAATGGAGTATGTGGCTCTGAAAGAGGGCGGAGACAGAGAGAAACTCGAGGTTCATTGAGAAAAACCTGGTCCCGACCAGGTTAGGTTCATAGAGTCTGTTACTATGGTAACTGACCGAGAACTTAAGTTAACTCTCTCTCTGAAACAGGCTAGAGTTACCCCTCTTTCTCTCGTTTGAGTTACCTCCCTTTTTGAAACGGAAAACTCAGAGTTTCCCACATTTCAGGGTTAACAGAGTCTGAGTTTTCACTAAACCTGCTTTGAGAAACGGACCCCTGCACACAACATGATCTGAAAACCATTAATTTTTCAAACACAAGTAGCTTGATCAAACAAACTTCTTATATAGAAGTTTCTGGTGCTTAGTTGAGTGAAACCTCAATGGGTTGACCAAAGGAAACTGATTTTAAAAGTATAAATTATCCACCAGAACATTTAACCCCAGCAAGTCCTTCAAAATAAACAAAATATGTAGCTTGTCTGGAATGAGACATGTTGAGATTTTTCTGATCTGACACCACTGTTGACAAGACGACGGCATTTATCAGTGTCTTCCAAAACTCAGTTTTTCAAAATTACAATCCTTTTCTGATCTGACACAGCCAAAGATAAGGTTTTGTCAGATTTAGGCACAAAAACTACTTGGCCAAGATGACTGAATAACCGTGGTCACTGGTCTCCCACATTTATATCCAGTGGTTTGTTGTTAGTGACGTCACACTGTTAGTCCTTTGGACCATCCTCCAGATGGACAAGAGCCATTGTTCCCTACGACCACTAGAGAGCTTTGTCTCTTGAAATAAACATGCTGACTGGGGGCATTTGTTGAATAAATAACGTTGTCAATGTAAGGAGGACAGAGCTCTCGTAGCATGGGCATGAATATCAGCCAGCGGGTCTTTCCCCACTGCAACATATGTGTCCCCATGTTTCAACAACAAAATGAAGCATCTCCAATTCTAAAAAACTATAAATATTGAATAAAGAGTCAAGTCCTTTCAAGTCATCTTTCTCGAGTCAAAGTCAAGTCTCAAGTCATGAATACCGAATCAAAGTCAAGTCTTTCATCAGTGTTGGTAAACAAGTCTCAAGTTCTCAAATTTGCGTCAGACTCAAGTCAAGTCATGTGACTCAAGTCCCCCACCTCTGCTGCTCACACACAGTTGCAACATTAATACACAACTATTTCACCGTGTGCCTGGTCGCCAAGGTGCTAGAAGGCTAGCTGCTCCAAACTCCTGACAGATTCCTGTCATAGAGCGAATCAAATCTTACAGTTTGGGTGCCTATGTGTCTCATCTGAGGTCCAGCACATTACAGCATTTAAAGAAAGAGCATAATTAGCGAATGAGCACCAGCTGTACCAATTTGTGAACAAGCACCAGCTGTGCCAATCAACGCACCTGGCACTGCTCTCATGAACCATCCCCACAACTCATTATCCTGCAGCTGAATGCAAACCATCCTCACCTCCACACCATTCTCGGAACCCATCAGCTGTATTTGGCGTCTGACTTCCGGCAGACAGCGATACAGCCTCTGGGGGCAGACCCCCGATTTTTTGGCATTCCGGTTTGATTTGGGCGGAGGAGGCGAATTTCCGTTTCCGACTTCCGTTTATATATAAGTAAATATGCTGAACCATTGCGATGGATTCAGAATTTGCAGTGACACCAATTATGTTCTGCCTCGTTAGTTCACCACATGGGACCGTTTAACCTGGCAACAACTGCGGCCAGCTCAAACGTGATTGGTCAATATCACGCGGACTACAAACAGCCTACAACCGGAAACATTCTCTGAATGTAGAGTGTATATAGAGACTACCTCCACACTGACTAAACATGAGTGTTGCAGATGTTGCAACAACTTATACTTATGGTGCATTTTGAATGCTTGCAAAGATTTGTAAAGCTAAAACCAAAATGTGCAGGTCCCACCCATGTGGTACTTCCCCTTAACTTTGTGTTGAAATCATTTTGTAAAACTATTCGACCCAGGTCAACCTGGAGACTGTGGTATTTTTTATTCACAGCACTGTGGTCTCTGACTGCAGAATAGACTGGGTTCGGGAGTTGCGGTGAAACTGCATCATGTGCTCTGAGCCGTTCCTTGATGCGAAATTGCTGTTGAAATGGTGATCTCTGCTCAGACGGCAATTCAGACACATACTCCGCCACTTTCTCTTGAGCTCGCCTTGAACCTGCAAAAATAGATAAAAACAAACATGTTTTTAACTAGATTAATTTAAATGTTACAGATACTAGAGTGAATCAAACTTTTGCAAGTGGTGGGGCATGCAAACCTTTCCAAAACACTGAACTGCTCCTTTAGCCACAAACGTGCTAAAAATGGCTCATCGTTTCGAATAACATATAGGGGTTGTATGCTATATGGGACCAAATAAGCAGTAGTCATACCTGATGCTCATTTTTGTACCCATCTGACAACATCTGTCGAGTGCTGCCATTATTGGGCCGACATTGTGTTGTCTGATCACAGTGCAACGTCACAACATTAACCCACTTCCTAATAGTTTAGTAATTGGTCTTTAAAGGACTTAATATCCTTTTCCTGACAAAAACACTGGGTCACGCATTTCACAACTCTGGTTTGTTTGCAGTAAATATAAGAAGTAGCTAGCATGGACAATTTATTTAGCAAGCCTGTACAGATGAAGGGAAGCTCAAACTCTAAATAAGTTTAGACAGAACACAAAGCGAATTTCGTCTTGCATTATTTGCACAGATTTGAGCATTGGACTGTGTGTTCCCAAACTGCAAATGTATCAGTAGTGCAGACAGCTTTGTAACATGTGTGCGTATTGCGGGGGTGTGTTTTCTTTGTGGGACAGCTCAACCACAGTCTGATCTCAGACCTCACCAGGAGGTTTAAAACAAGGTCAATAAAGCCTCAGGTTCATATGTGTGCTTTTTTTTTTCACTCAAGTTAAAACATTTTAACATGTTAAAACACAAAGCATCTTTGCGCCCACTTGTTTGTAACCATTTAGTATGTATGCCATCATGCCATGTCTAAAATTGCTTTGTGCTGTTAAGTCATAGTACCATAAAAGTACAGCTGACTTCTGGGAAGTACAAAAACACACAAACACTGTGCAACAGAAATAATTATCACATTAATTCAGTCATTTTTGTGTTTTACCTGCTTTAGCTTGATTGTTTTTCCTGATAATATTATTATCACATTGTTTAAAGCTACAGGTAATTGTCACTATGTCCTGACAGTAGTACATCAGACAGATAATCTGTTAAAAATCATCTTCCTTTGACTCCTCCTAGTGCTCCTAATGACATTTGCAAGAATCAACCGCGCCTGAACGAAAACAACCAATCAGAGCCAGGAGGAGTCTCTAACGCAGTGTTGATCACTGCTCATGCACAGGCCACTTATCCTTATACAATGGTTTGTAAGATGTCTACCGAATTAGTGACTCACGAATGACATTAAGTACTTAATGCGAAGTTACATACTTACATACTCAACCTATATGTTAGGTTAAGAAAAATAAACATGGTGATGATGTACCTTAAAATAACTCAAAGTTCACTTGGTTTCAAATGGTTCTGAGGCTAAAGTCAGTGTTCGACATAAGCAATGGCCAGATGGCCCGGGGCCAATCAAAAAGTATGTCAGGCAAGTTGACTGACCAGTCACAGGCCCGCTCGGGCCAGTGACACTAAGTTTTTTGTTTGTTTGTTTTTTTAACCGTGCCGCGCGCCACAGGTCAGAGCTCAGTGAGACGTTCTATGCTCAGCGTGCCTGAGATGGGCTTTTTGGCCAAAGCTGCCCTCACCTTTGCCCATGCAATGAAACACTGGAGGAGGGGGAAACAGGCCGCTGCGCTTGTGCGTCTCTGCCAACGCTGACACCGCACACCGCTGCCAGGTATATTTCTCTCCAACGTGCGTTTGCTGACCAACAAACTGGATGAACTTCAGCTACTGATGGTGAAAAACGGAGGCTTTCCTACATCAGCAGTTTTGTGCTTCACGGAGACATGGCTGTGTGGATCGATACCGGACTCTGAGCTGCAGCTGGCAGGCTTCCAACTCTTCAGAGCGGATCATAACAAGGAACTCTCCGGCAAAACTAAAGGTGGAGATATCTGTTTTTATACTTACAGTGGCTGGTATAAATGACGTGACAGTGATCCAGCAGCACTGCTCTCCTGATCTGGAATCTTTTTTCATCAACTGCAAACCTTTTTACTCCCCCCGTGAGTTTGCTTCATTCATTCTGGTCAGTGTTTACATCCCACTGCAGGCCAATGTGCAGGAGGTAGGCTACAGCGCACGCTCGCCGACCAGATACTGTGTGGAGCGGACTTACCCAGACTCCTTAGTTATTGTCCTCGGCGACTTTAACAAAGGTAACCTCACACATGAACTCCCCAAATACAAACAGTTTATGAAATGTCCGACCAGAGAGAAGAATATCCTGGATCACTGTTACACAACTGATAACAACGCCTATCACGCTGCCCCCAGCGCTGCACTGGGCCACTCTGACCACGACACCATCCACCTGATTGCCTCATATAGGCAGAAGTTAAAGCTCTGTAAACCTGTTGTGAGGTCATCTAAGAAGTGGAGCAGTGATGCTGTGGAGGATCTCCAGGCGTGTTTGGACACTACTGACTGGGGTGTTTTCAGGTCCACCACCAATAGTCTGGATAACTACACAGAAACTGTGACATCATACATTAGCTTCTGTGAGGACTATACCATCACGCACTACGGTGAGTTGTAATGGAGTTAAATAAAATGAAGTAAAATGAAATGAAGTTTTATAGACATTTCTCTCTCTCTCTCTCTCTCTCTCTCTCTCTCTCTTTGACTTAGGCCAGTAAGAATATACAAGGGGCCAGTGAAACTCTGAACTACTGGCCTGGGGGGCCAGTGGGGAAAAATGTTATGTTGAACACTGGTAAAGTCCTGTGTTATTTGACCCATCCACCACCTCACCCTCTGTCCTTAGTCAACACATTCTTACTCTGATCTCGTCACATATCGACATTTGTCCATGGACTTTCCACATCGAGATATGATGTGCAAGGTACCCTGTGTGCAAAATACACTTCCATTTCAACAGGAAATATACAGTTTGCATCGGTATCTTTCAAAATAAATGTACTACGTCAGTACAACACCACTAATTGATGTCTTTTTCCTGTGACAACAACCACAAGTGGTTACGTTTTGCCAACACACGCCCATAGTTGGGTTTAGGCAACAAAAGCATGTGGTTGGATTCATTTCAAAGAACACCTTCCAGGTGAAAGCCAGTGGTTGCTGGACCCATATACCACCCCCCCCCCCAACCTGCCCTACTCAGACTTCTGCTTAGGGCTGCACGATTAATCGTAATAAAATCGTGATCTCGATTCATATGCATATGCAATCTAATTTTTCAATGACAGCGATTCTGCCGGCCCCGCCTGTGCCGGGAGTCGGGACATCATCTTCATGAAAACAAGCGCTCCCAACGACGCAGCGTCATACCACGTGATGCAGAGCGACAGCCGGCCAGCAGTTTGGAAAGCAGCGAGAGGGGGGACACTGCTAACTGTAGCCTCAGTTTGTGTCTCATACACATCTGCTGGTAAAGTTAACTTAGCGTTAGCAAGCGTGATAAAAGACGGCAGAGAGGCAACGTTGTGCAAATAAACCAAAGATTTATTAATTTTCTTTAGCAGTAAACACATGGGCCGATAACAAATGTGTTAACTATGCTAAAACTTTACAAGCTATTCAGGGCTGCCGACGATAACATTAACATGACGAACAGCAAGGCTACGGCTAACAAGTTAACGTACTGACACTCCTCAGACACACACACATACCAGACAGCCTCTCAGTCCTTAGCCGCTAACGTTAGCTCATGTAAAACACAGGTACCACACAAAAACTTTTACAAAGGGTCATAATGTGCTTCTAGTGACTGACAAATCGCCAGCGAAACTTGTTTACACTGCAGACACGGAGAACAGCTGAGTGCCTGCTCTCATGGGACAAAGATCCTCTTAGAAGAAAGACGGATCACTCTGCTCTGCTGCAAAGAACAAAATGTGAGGCAAAGATCCTCTCTGAGGAAGAGGGCTCACTTTGCTGCAGGGTTCACCAAAACGTTTTTTTGTTGTTGTTTTTTCTTTTAATAAATTGAACACACATTAAAGAACATACAAGATCCTGTAGAGAATTAATACATATAATAAAATATGATAGACATTGTCAAATTAAATGAAGGAAGAGGATTTTTTAAAGGCAAATAAAATATTGGGGATTTATGTAAAAATATACATAGAGACATATAAATAATTATATAATTAAAGATATGTAGGCTATGTTAGGTGAATACTCCTAAATGCATGGTGTTGAAATGTTTAATTTTGACTTAACTCCAGGCCTGGAATACCTACCTCAGAAAAATGTTGTTCAACATTGATATTATTGTTAAAATTGTTCAAAAGCTGTAAAAGAAGACAAGAGACTAAAGCTAAAACAGGAGTGTTCCCTCTCTGCTGACCACAGTTTATGTGACTTGTGTCTCTTGTATCAGGCACAATCATAGGCTTTGTTATTTAATGGTATTTTTTTATTATTTATTTATAATTTTTGTTACTTTTCCTTTTGTATCAGGAAATAAGCACAATATATCTTTATATTGAAAAAAATCGTGAGAGAATCGTGATCTCAATTATAAGCCAAAAAATCGTGATTCTCATTTTTTCCAGAATCGTGCAGCCCTACTTCTGCTGCCCCAACTTTCGTTGTCGTCTCGCCACCTTTCCCCTGACGCTTCCAGGCATTGTTAAACTATAAAGGCGACAGAACATGTATCATGTCGGTGTGAAAGGACAGCTTTTTTCATCTGTGTCTGACACTGGAATTCAGGGACTCATTTTGATGACTTTGGAGTGAGACTGGGTTGCCTTAGATGGACTTTAGGTCTTTATACTACTTCCTTCTGTAGTCCCATTAGCACATTAGGTATGTGATCACAGCCTCCCTAGTTATATGGGTTATACACAAGTTTCTGGCTCATGATTATGTGGGTTATATATGAATTGTGGTACATTACTTTTTGCAGGTATATATATGATCAATGAGTGAGAGCATGCTTCTCCTGGCTCTGATTAGTTGTTTTTGTTCAGGGTAGGTGGATTGTTGCAAAAGCCATTAGGAGCACTAGGAGGAGCCAGAGAAACATGATCTTTTAACAGAATATCTGTCTTATGTACATAAGACTGTCATCCTGACAGTACTACTGTGAGGGTGACAGTTTCAGCAAATTTGACTTTCATTAAAGATACCTACTGTAGCATTAATGTATATATTTGTATTAATGATGTGGTGCCTTCTTGTTTGATCTGTTTTAGTCAGTGAATTAGATGAAATCTTTCTTTGATTTTTATCGGTTTCATGAACTTGACTTGAGATGACTGGAACGCAAAGTCCCCTGGTCAGATTTCACTTGAAATTTTTTTTCCTACTCATTTAGATGCTGGTGTTTGCAAGAAAGGTGAAGCTGCAGAGTTATGACAAGCAGTCATATTTAAACAAATACCACACTGCTTTCTTCAGCATTTGGTGTTTGAATAACATAATTCAAAATATTTTAATGGGAAAAAAATCTAATAATGGAATTTGGACACACTCACAAATTTTTAGCTCAAACCAAAGAAAAATATAATTTTCTGCTTATCAAATGTTTCCACTTCTTCCACCAAGACCACGCTGAAATTGAACGTTGTGGTTTTAAATAAGCATGTTATCAGCTAAGTGCAGACACATTTATGGGAATATTTCTAAAGCTTTATAATGTTTTGCTTCTCTAACATCCAATGCTAAAAAAGGATGCAAATGGATGTTGGCTGGAGTGCCACACTAAATTGAGTGTTTACCTCTTATTAATATATCTAAACACTACACCGTGCTATGTCATTTCATATAATGAAAGCTTACCTCACTGTTTAGGAAGCAGTAGAGAATGGCCACCACCAGACCCTGAAGAAAACATCACGGTGATGTTAAAAAAGACAAACATCAGAATTGATTCAACATTTAAGTCCTACAAGCACTTCAATTCTTCAGAATTATTAATGAAAATAACATGTAGTAATAGAAGTGGGGGGACTGATAATAAAGCACCTGAAAGGATCCGAGGGCCAGGTCAAAGAATATTTTATAATCCTCTGCGATGGATTCACTGAGAGAAACGAAGACCACATAGTGGATGCCAAACAGAGGGATCAGCAGCAGAGTGGATTTGGCCAACCTCCTAAAGGGAAAAATCCAGCAGTGAACAGGTATTTGTAGCACTATTCAACTGTAACAGATAGAGTATTTGTGTTTGAGAGCAAACTATAGAGTCAGTTTACCGTAGGGCATCAGTTTGCCCCAAGAAAATATAAGGTGTGTATCGTGGATAGTGTAGGTTTAATGGTCTGTGTCCCTGAGACAAAAAGGTTCTTTTAAAACTCAAGATCCACTTACTAACTTTATTAAGCCTTTAAACAATTTATCAGTGGATGCATTTTGCTAATAGTTGTCTAAAATGATGGTGAAAGCTCAGAAAAAGGCCTTGTATTAAGAGTTAAGGTTAAAAAATTATGAAAAGTTTAATGGCAATGTGTCTTTGAAGAGCAAATTAGACTCGATAAAAAATGTAGATTTTCTCTTGTGAGAAACACCAATTAAGAGCTCTTTTTGGGGATTCATTGATCATTTTTTCTTTTGGACATGTTCAAAGGTAAGAGCAACCAACCACCAATATACTTAGACACATATTTTTAATATAACATTCTGACAATAAAATAGCAAATAAAACACAACTGCCATCAGACCCTTATATAAAATATTCCTGCTGGGTTTGTATTGTTTTTACATTTTTCCAATAGCTTTAACACAACACTAAAGGTTGCTGCTGTTATATAATCATTTTTAATTGTTCAACAATTCAGTACTCTGCATGTCTGGGTTTTTTCATATATCAGTGGATTTCCTGTTCACTACAATGACTGTAAACACTTGTCAGTATCACGGAAAATGTTCCATATGAGAACCCCTCACACTGAGATGTATAGATTATCCAGTCATGACCATTAATCACTTAATGTTTTGGCCACCACGAATGCAATTCGATTATCCTCCACTGTACTGTGATGCAGAGGTCCAAAATTCTAGACACAGAGTCCAATCCAAAATGTACCTGTGGAAAACCTCTGAAACGTGGATAAACTTTAAAAAAGGAGACCTGATCCAACAGGGCCCTGAGGACACTCACACCTGATCCGAAATACACTAGAGAATAATTAGACCAGGCCTGAAATGCAGTCAGGTCGAACAGCCTTGGATGATTATGATGCATCTCATGATCAGAGCGCATAGAAAGTTCCCCTTGTCTATGTAATACATTGATTCACACACCCAAGACTCCTTAGAAAAGAAGAATCACACTATCTGATTAGACAGAAATTTGGACCCTATCTTGATTACTAGGCCCATAGGGAAATCTCAGCAGTGGATAGCTCAAAATGTGGTCAAACAAAACTGAAACTATCTGCATTGCTTTGGGAAAATGGGAACTGTACACATTTGGATAATAAAACTACTCATTCAGTATTGTAATTCCAATTAAACACCCAAATAAGATGGTAAAATCCTCTCTCTCTCTCTCTCTCTCTCTCTCTCTCTGTCAGTATCACTCTCCAGGCTGTTGACTCTGCTCAGCCATACACTAAACTACACCGCGCTGACATCAAATCCTCACCTACACTAACAGGGGATTCTGCAACGGCTTATCCAGGCTTTTCATCACCTCTCGCCTCTGACTCTCAGATTCCTGTGGCCGCAGGACATGAGAATACCTGACAGCTCAGCACAGCTAAAGATTTCTCTGCAGGGTAAAATTGCCTGAAGATTAAACACACCGCCTCTGACTGGGATTCAGACACTGAATCGTGCAAGAACGTGCCGCTCCAAAGAGGCATAGAGGTTTCACCCCCACCGCTCTCCATTTCATAAAGGCTGCATCATGAATTGCCGTCATGTTGAATGAGAGTTAGCGTTACTCTTATCTCTCCAAAGAGCAAACACAGAGGGGATAAAAATGTTCTGGGTGTCTCAGATTATCTGTTTTTTTTTTATATTTTGAGACATTTAGCTGACTCTTTCATGAACAGTAACTTACACTGACACATGAGCAAGGTTAGCGTTTCCTTAAATGGTGACACAACCTTTTATTAACAGTTGAAGCTGTAGTTTGTAGCACACATCCAAGTGGGTAGAAATGGGATTTAGATCTCTGTGTAGCTGCTGTTCATGCTCTTTAAAGAGTGTTAAAGTCCATGCCCCATGTGAGATACCTGTATTGTGATTGGTCGTTGCCGCCCACGTCGGGACACCTCAGCTTCTGAACCAAGATCCGAATGATGCTGATGAACAGGATAAAGTTCACCTTTGAGACAGGGAGGAAATAACAGAAATATCAGAGCAAACAAAGAGAGTCAGAAAAACCCACAAGGGGTGATTATGCTTTGCAGTGCTGGACAGTTTTCCACCCACAGGAAGCAATGAATGAAAAGTTTAGACAGAAACACAAAGAGGAAACTCAAAAATAGCAAGTGAGAGTTTCATCCAGGGAAAAGTAGATTGAATGAACTTAAATGTTTTTCTCTGGTGCATCTTTGGTTCCTTTTAAAGCATTACAAACGGAAATAGTGACGTTGTGAAATCACCTGATATGATTTGGGGGGCATTTGCTTGTGGATTTGTTTTTAACAGTGCTTTTATGCTGCTATATGGAGCTGCTATTTGTCTGTTTGCTAGAAGGAAATTTGTCTAATCATATCTTAGTAACTGACATTAATGAAGGTCCAGTGTGTAGGATTTAACAGTATCTAGTGGTAAGGTTGTGAAGATTCTGTTTTAGTTTCGGTTTTACGGTGGATTTATGTGTGTTTTCCTTTTCTGTTTTTAACAAAGGTGGCAGAACTGAAACTTCTCCCGTGTGCCAAGTGTGTAGGAGAGCAATGGTGGCCATGAAATGCATATGGCCCCATCTAGAGCCAGTGTTTGGTTTGTCGATTATGGGCTTCTGTAGAAACAACCTGGTGGACTCTGTGGCAGAGGACCCGCTCTGTATGTAGATACAAACTGCTCATTCTGAGGGCAAAGCACAGCAATTCTTATTTTCAGGTGATTATAAACTAATGCAAATATAGTCATGAATGTTATATACCAGGGGTGTAACGGTACACAAAAATCTCGGTTCGGTACGTACCTCGGTACACAAGTCACGGTTCAGTTTTTTTTGGTACAGTAATGAAAAAAATAGACAACTATTAAATATCTTTTACTTATTGGTAACCTTATTAAAACATACCACCACAGCAGTTAACTCTTTTTACACAATTTTTGAATGAAACAAATATATATAAAATCCTGCTTTTTCACATTGTTTGAATGAAAATAGAAATATAAAAGTGAAAAATAAAATCCTGCTGTTTTTTTAACACATTTTTTGAATGAAAAATATAAATATAAATTTCTGCTTTAACAGTTTTACTCAATTAAAATAAAAAGTATAGTGCAGCTGGTCAGCTTTAAAGCCTGCTCAGATTCAGTTTTACTAGGAACTTACTTAGCTTTCCCACTTTGTTAAAGTGCAGTAAACAAAACATGCTTATATCTAAAGTGCAGCTTAAACAATTTTACTCAACTCCAATGGCGTTGATTATTTCTTTAGAGCGATGGTCAGGGAAACACTCTCTTTTTAAACGACGACGATATCGTAGTTTGCACCAGATTGCTTTTTCTAGTCGTGCTGGTTAACGTTCAAACTCGGGTGGTGTCGCTTTAGATGCGTTAGCATGTTAGACGTGTTTCCAAGTACATACCCGACCGCTGTTCTGCAGTGTCGGCACACTGCTTTTGTCTTGTCCACTTGTTTATTTCCATCTTCATATTTTACCCTGAAACCAAAGTGTTCCCAAATGGACGACTTAAGGTTTGTGGGTGGGTCTTCAGGTTCGGCAGGCTCACTTGCCATGTTGTCAAAATGCGAGAATGCGCTGCACAAAGTGAAAGCGTGCCCTGCGTTCCAATACCCATCCTACCATACTATTTAGTATGCCAGAAAAAGAATTAGTGTGTCCCAATACATAGTATGTCAGATGCAGTATGCCAAAAGTACCAGGATGTTCTACTACATCCGGTCATATTTCGCAGTATGCATGTCAGCATGCTTCTTTGGCCATTCTGACCCACAATCCTTTGCGCAGCGGAAGTTACGTCACACTGACTGAGCTGCGTGTACAACCAACGCCCACACTTCCTTTCATACATGGTTATTTAATTTGAGATACTAAGACACTACATATTAGGACTGCAATGATCTGATTATATACTGTCACATATCATACAGTTTTGCAAGAACACAGATACAGCATTCAACTTTATTGTGATTATAGTATAATCAATGTTAGGGTTCAACTATGACTACAATATAGAAGATTCTACCAGTATAGGAAGAGGGGTAAGTGTGGTATAAATAATGAATGCATATGACTAAATATGAATACACTATGGGCCAGGTATGAGCAGTATAGACAAGTAAATATATAAATAGTAAAAGTCAAATACATATTAAGAAATGTAGTAAGAATGTGCAAGTATGTTACACTACAAATAAAAGTAATGTGAATGTAAGGCTGCTTCACGTGCAGACAGAATATAGTGCCAGCAGCTGCACAGCTGTAAATATATTCAACATCAAACATCTGCCAGCAACAGAGAGCTATGTGTGAAGGGGGTTAATGTGCCTACTGGTGACTAGTTCAGTAGACAGGTCACTAATAATAGGCTTGGGACTGTTTACGTGAACACATCAGTTTATTAGAAACAACAACATATATTACGACATAACAGCAACAGAGCTCTCCGGCACCTCCAACGGTATGCACGACTCTGGCGGGCTCGACGAGAGGAGATTGGCTGCATCTCCGAAGTACAACAAAACAAAATATTCAAATGTGGAGCTAAGGACGGCGACGGAGGTGAGCAAGAGGGTCGGAGTTCAGGGTGGATGTGATGGCGGATGTAGTGTGTCCCAATAGTATGAATACTGCATGCATACTGCATACTACGCTACATACTTTTTAAGGGCAGCTGCAGTACATACTAAAAGTATATAGTAGAAGTATGCGATTTGGAACGCAGGGGTGGATTTACGAGACTTGGTCCGTCACTCAATTATGTCCGTCGGGGAACTAGATATTTTAAATGGTTCAGCTCACAAAAACGGAATGAAAATAAAACAAAATAAAATAAAATAATATCCTGCGCCCAATAATTCGGTACAGGGTCATGCCGAACCGGAAGTCGCGTACCGAACGGTTCGACACAAATATATGTACCGTTACGGCTCTATTATATACCATTTCTGCCGATAGATGCCCCTTAATCCCGCACACTGCACCTGGCAAACCTTTATTTTCTTCACATGCCAAAGCTAAAATGGAACACTGAAAAATAGGTGTACTACAGTGTTACTTGGTCAAGTCAACAAAATTGAACTGAACAGCATCTGTTTTCGTTCAACCGTTAACTGTACAAGACTAACAAACTCTACCCAGCAATACAAGAAATGGCTCCTTTACTTCTGTCTTCTACATGAACCATCAATTTCACTTCAATGTTTGTCAGCTACAATGAGAAGCCTGCTTTTGTTTCCTTCTGTCTGAAATCAAGGACAAATTTTAACAAAAGTTGGCACGAATTTCAAGTGGCAAATCTGCCACCGCATATATTATTATAAATGGCATATGTGTAGTTCTATATTGGAAAGTTTAACAGTAACACAGGGGGGAGGGAGTTACCACCTGTATCCTTTATATCATCATGCATTTTCCATTTGGAGATGCTTTTAGTATCAACAAGCATTATGTGAAACACCTGTACATAAACAGGAGGTAATGAACCTCAACTTACCATAATGGAGAATCCAATTGGTCCGTTGATTACCCAGTTGGGTATGGGATTATCATTCCTCTCCCAGCATCTGAGGACACCATAAATAACCATAATGCTATATTATATCATATACATAATATATCCGTGAAACACAACAGTAAGAGAAGAGAGTGGATGGATACAAGCAGAGGGAGAACCAGGTTTCTACCTACTCGACGCATTTTCGTCAAACCTTAAAGATTGGTGGGAAGAAAAGTTTGCAAGGTTTAGTCTGGCTTAGTTTTTTCAGGATTTTTTTTTTTTAAAGTCAGTCACATCTATAAGTAAGTTTTAGGGCTGTCAATCTTCCCCCAAATTCAGATTCAAATTTTTAATGTTTTTTATGTTGAAAAATTCGAATAACATTCAAATTTTTCCTTGGTATAGGCTATAGCCTAGGCCTACCACTGCATTTTTATATTTTTTTGTGTTATAATGACGTTATTTTAATATTTTGCATCACATGCAAAAGGTGAGCGTCTCCGGCTTAATAGTTACACAATAGTTCAATAGTTACACATTAAAACAATATTTATTTGCAATTACTCTATTGAACGACCCCGAAGCATGAGCAAACAGGCTGTGTCACTTTGGATCAAAGAGATGCGCCCTGTCACTGTCAGTGCAGGGCTGACAGGGCACCCTCCGCTGAGAAGAGAGAAAGGAGAGGAGAGGAGAGGAGAAGAGAGGAGAGGAGAGGAGATGGATTGTAGGTCTGTTTGTAAACAGGGCTTCTCTGACAGTCATGTATTTCCCCAAAAAACATCTCTTAATGCACGGTAGAGTGCCATTTTTTTTTTTTGTTTTTGTTTTTTTCAAAATCGCCTTGATATCCAGCAAATCGCCTGACAACCCTCCAATCGCCAATATATTATTTGATTGCTGATCATCCCAGGCCTATTTGCGTCATACCGGAAGTCGAACCTTAGTTTCCAACTTCGAATATGCTTATTTTTACAATAATTCGAATTGTTTTCGAATAGCGAAGTTCATTCTGACAGCCCTAGTAAGTTTCATGTCCTGAAGGGCAAGTCGAAGTCACACATCCATCCTTCCATCCATATTTTTGCCCACTTATCCAGGTTTGGGCTGCAGTAGTTGAAGGCTAAGCAAGGTAGCCCAGTCCATTTCCTCAGTCATATCCTCCAGCTCTTCCCTGAGGGTCCAAAGATATTACCACGTCAGGTCAGGAGTATCTAATCCCTCCTGCATGTTCTGCTTCTGCCCCTGGTTCTCCTCCCAGCTGGATATGCCAGGAAAACGGGAGGCATCATTATCGGTGAGCTGAACCATTTTAATTGCCTTCTTTAGACATGAAGGAGTAGCGTTTCCACTCTGAGCGTATTGTTGCTGTCTGAACTCCTTAGCAGATCTCTGAGGATGAACCCACAATGCACCCTGTTAGAAAAAGTTATTTCAGCCATTTGCATCTGCTATCTCATTCCCACTGTACTTAACCAAAGCTCATGACCATGGGTGAAGGTTGGGAAGTGATCGACTGGTTAATTGAGAGCTGGGTCTTTAGGCTCTAACACATTCTAACTCCAAACTCTTAAAATACCGACACTTGGTCAGTGGCCCATGATGTCAAAATATGACAAGGAAAGTTTTCACAGGAAATGTACAGTTTCTGCTCATTAAATGCACACAGTGTTTTTTAAAATTAACTTAGAACGTGGTGAACATGATTTGGCATGGCATCTGCAATGATGCAGTTGCTGTGCCGGACTGTTGTGGGGAAGGGAGAGCTAAGCCTGAGGGTAAAACTTTTGATTTACTCATCCATCGACATCCCAACCCTCACCTATGTGTAATGAACAAAAGAGTGAGGTCATGGATACAAGTGGCCAAAATGAGATCCCTCCGAAGGGTGTCTGGGCTCAACCTTAGAGATAGGGTAAGGAGGACCTCTCATTAGAGGTGTTTCCGGCATGTCCAACTGGTGGGAGGCCCCGGGGCAGACCCAGAACAAGCTGGAGGGATTATATATCTCGTCTGGCCTGGGAACTCCTCTGGATCCCCATGGAGGAGCGTTGCTGAGGAGAGGGCGTCTGGAATGCTTTGCTCAGCCTACTGCCCCTGCGACCTGGCTTCAGATAAGTGGTTGAATATGGATGGATGAATGGATGGATAGTTGTCTGAAGTGTCAACAAATGCTGCCGCCTGGGCAACTGACGAAGCCTCGGTATTTGAAGAGTTGGGAGTGGCTCTGCTTCCTTTTGACATTCCAGTACAGCGTCCACATTATTTATTGTCATTTCTCAAAAATAAAAGAATATCCCAATCCCAAATGGAAAATCGAATACCTACCCAACAAGCAATCCAAATAGTGAAATATTTGGGTACAGCCCTACTACTGGTCAATACTTTTTGGCTACACAAGTCCGATGTCTGTCCAATGTTGTGATATGGCCAAATGGCCATAACTGAAATGCTTTCAAATTTCACATCAAGTCTCAGGTCAATCAAGTCTGAAAGCAGTCAAGTCAAAGTCAGTTCTCAAGATGTAATTTTTGTGACATTCAAAAACCTTACGGTCTACATGAAGCTTTTAACTGCATCTCACAGCCGTTATCAAGTGGTGGAAAGCTGCGGAGCAAACTATTGATCTTATTTTGTCAAGAAATTATTCCTAAGGTTAAGAATGAACTTCCAAGCTCAAGCCTCATTGTCATTCTTCACAAAGTCCCCTCACACTATGGAGCTATATCATTGCTGTCCTTTGTTATCACACTGCTGCTCTATAATTGTTGTTGCAGAGTTTCTTCACAAAGTCTTTTTAAGAATACGCCCACTCAGTGTGACTCGCTCAATGACGGGCTGCAGTGTTAGCTGCAATAATGTGCAACACAAGCTGAGCAGATCCATGGCACCAGGCTCATAATGATACCAACTCAATGCAAATCCCACCAGCTGAATTATCCAATAAAGTGCTCTTTGACATGGGGGATATTTGTCTAATTATTGTGGAAACCAAGCCACATTCACATTGGATGGCTTAATCTAATCGATAAAATGTCATTTGTGGACTTAATGAAACAACAGATGCAGCCCCCGTTGAATATCAGCATGTGCCACTCTCTAATGCGATTGAAATTCCATGTCTCCTATCATGTAATTAGGGAGAAAATGCAATTCCAAAGAGCACATGACGTACGTTTGTGTAAATTGCAGATAGTTTTTAATCAGACAACAAGTGGCATGCAGATTCCTGTGATACAATTTAATCTATGTAATATGATTGAAGGATGCTGTGTTGTACGCAAATACCAAATCTAAATCATGTTCTCATGCTGATGAGTGATTGGTTCATGATCAGCTGGCAACACTCACCCTGTGTCCTCCAGATAAATCCTCGTCATCACCCACGCAGAGACGAACACCGTGGGGATTCCTGCAAAACACCACAAGGAAATCATTGATGTTAATGTAGGTAAAACATTATCTATCTACTGTATATGTTATGAAAAAATAACATCCACTTCTTTGCTAATGTTTATTTTACTACTATTTATCAAAATCATTTTCAATCATTTATAATTACAAGTTGTTTATTCATAGATTGAATAACTACAATATAAAGATTTAAATGAATCAATATAAATCCATTACATTACAGTTAGCACACGTATTCCTCATGTTGTTTTTAACACAAAACTAAATCCTCATAACACGACATTACATATTGAATTATCCTTTGTAACTTTAGTCTTGAGCATTAAAATATTAAAATAATATTTTTGGAAAACAAACTACCATGAAGTTTAACAAAAGCATCAGTCTGATGTGCACATTTTTCTTTTGCAAAGGTTTTGAGAAAGGAATGATTTAGCAGATGAGCATTACTAAAACATTACATTTGACTCATTTATTGAAATTATTCTTTGTGGAACTAAAGGACAGAATCTTTATGGGAATTATTAATGTACTGTAAGCACTTAAAATGGCTGCCTAGTGGAGATGAAAAGTGGACACAATGACAGGTTAATTTAGTTTAAAGCTGCAATGCTAAAATTTTGGCCACTAGGGGCAGAGGAACTCAACAACAAGCTGATACGTTATTGGAGTCTTTAGGCAACTGGACAAGATTTTGGTATGGAAAGCTTTAAGGTTTCCATTTGTAGTCTGAGTAGTATTGACCAACCACATTTGAGCAGGCTTTGGTTGCATGCAGGTAAACAGCTAATATAGACAGCAAAAGAGGAGGAACACACTGGCCAAAATGCAATCTTAGAACCCATCAGCCATCGTCTGATGACTATTTAGCCTTTATTAGATTTTTTAAAATGTTGTGTGGGCACTGACCAATGTACAGAAGAGAAAGCCTTGGCCTGCAAATCCACAGAATCCGCAATCCCAGAAATATTGGCAGTTGTGTCCAGAGGCAATATTGTCGTCAGATCGTAGCTGATGGGTTCCAAGATTGGTGTCCAACTGATGACTTTAGGTCAAATATACACTCTTCTTTTAGCTCTGGTTCAGTCTCCACTAACTCCTGATATGTGGCTCTTTAGATGCTAACTGTGCCTGTCTGCTGCTTGGTGCTGTGCAGGATTTAGTACAGTGGGTTCATCAGAGCCTGTTTTACTGAAAACAGCTGCCTGCTGCTGCTAGAAATAAAGCTGATGAAAGTGGTGAGAGTGGTCAAAAACCATAACTGTGCAAATCAAAACTGTAAGCTAAAAGAGGCTAAAAGTTTTGTAAACTCTGCAGAGTGCTTTAAACATCTGAGTCAGTTCCTCTTAATTTCAAAAAATGCTATAAACTTCAAATGAAATAAACGCTGACCCCAGCCGATGAACATGTAGACGATAAAGTGTCTGTTCTCGGAGAAGATGACAACAAGCAGAGTGTGGAGGTAGAGACCTTCCACCAGCAGCCAGAAGAAGTTGGCCATGATGAAGTACTGAAAAAACACCAGGCTGGCTTTACATCCCACCTGAAAAACAAAAAGGTTAAAGATCTTAACTTTGTCATGGACTTTGTATTAAACCCCAAAAGGTTGGAATGGAAAATGTCGCAAAACTTTTTGCAATTCTGCTACAGTGACATGAAATTAACCTTCAAGGCATTTTCTCATATCTACATTTAGTGCAAATCCTATTGTTTGTCTTTGCCGGTCTGTATGTGACTGCAGTGTTGGTGCATCCACAGAGACACCGTGGATTAATCAGGCAATTATGCTAATTATTCTGATGTGTGGGTTTACATTCCACTTTTTCACTGGGTCATCAGTGAGTTCACCAAGAGGATGAGCTTTAATTTATAAGCAGCCAGGAGATGGGAGTAAAAAGGTCAGAGAGCGTCCTGACAGTATTCTTTTAGTTGTTACAGTGACATTTCCTCTCTAATAAGAAAGGAATGAAGGCAAGTAGAGGAGGAACATTATGCAGGAAGAGTTGGCTAAATAAGAAAGTATCAAATGACAGTGCTTATTTCAATACTACTTTAATATCTAATAATGACTTTTGCTCCCAATTTAAATCTAAGTTACAGGAATTTATTGCACTTAATTTGAATTCAGTGGAAGATTGCAGGTTCGTTTGGGAAGCCACTAAAAGCTTTATAAAAGATGCTACATCATTTGCTTCATTTTTAAACTGCTTTCGTCGATTAAAAACGGTTGAGTTGGAGAGTCAGCTAGCATGCCTGCAAAAAGCTCAACAAAATTCCTTTTGTGCTATACGAATAGGTCAGCTTAGCCTGGTGGGAAAAAAAAAACATAATGCACTTCTTAGAGTAGATGCTGAGTTTCAAATTCAAAAGTCTAGAGAACACCATTACTTTAATGGCAGCAGGCCATCTCATGAGTTAGCTATGCAGCTCCGCTCTAATGAGCAACGGGCATGCATTTCTGCAATACAATCGGCAGATGGTAAGATATTTACCACTCCAAATGAAATAAATACAGTTTTTTCACATATTTATAAAAAACTCTATACTTCCGAAATTGCATCTAGTAGAGTGTAGAAGCGAAAATCGGTGCCTGGAAGTGGGCCAGATGGCACCCGACCTCGTCTCCTACTTCTCCTGCAGATCGTCCTCTGATGTTGATTTAGTACCTTAGGTTCAGTTGGCAAACACTTAGAGAATCACTGGAGTCAAATAGAATCTGGTGCAATCGAGTTTAATGCGTTCACAAGCAACAACACATACAACTCATTGAGTCAGGCTCCGGAGCACGACTGAAGTTTCGCTCTCTGCATTCTCTCTTTTATGCTGGTGAAGATTCGAGAGAATCTCCACCCTTTTCCTTTAATCCTTCCCACCTAAACCCAAACCTATTGGTGGCAGATCCTTTTCTTTTTAGCCCTTTCCCATCTGGTCCAAATCTATTGGTAGTAGGCCCCTTGGGCCCTTGCCCAAACATGACCTAGGCCTGGAAATCCCCAAATTCTCCCACCATTAGATTTGAGCCTGGTTTCACTTTATTTTTTAAAAATATATAAAACTTGGGGACTTTCTCTATACAGTCCCCTGTGCGTCCATGCAATGTGAGCTTAGAATGTGTGTCATGCAATACAAACATTAAAGAGTATGTGTGTGTTATTATTGAACAGTACATGGTTATTTAAACAATACATGGTGTCGTGTATGTGTGCTTTTCAATGTGAATGCATAACTCTGTGTTATGAATACATAAACTTGTAGAACCTTATTTTATCACACATAGATGCATAACAAACAGTTTTATAGGAACTGGTAATATAAAACATGGTTATATGAACTTCACTCTTAATCAACTTATGCAGTTTAACACTTTTACCTGATTAAAGATTAAATCTTACACTACAAGAGATATGTACAAAAATTTTCTAACTGACTTAAAATTTAAAAAATTATCTAGCTCAGAAGCAGCTAAGCAAATATATCCTTTAAAGAATTATCAGATGCAATACATGAGATGAATTTGGATAAGTCTCCCGGTCCAGATGGTATTCCCATTGAAGTCTATGTCAAATTCTGGGTCAAATTGCAAAGGGCTCTTTTCTAAAACAAACAAATACAGCCTTGAGATCACTTCTCCTCAAAAAACATAAGGATCCAATATTGTGCTACAGTTACCGGCCAGTATCGTTGATCAATGTAGATATGAAGATATATGCTAAAGTATTGGCACGTCGTCTCATCAAATATTTAGGAAAACTTATTCATTGTGATCAAACAGGATTTGTGAAAAGCCAGTTAAGTTCAGACAACCTAAGAAGACTATAACATATTCTACATTTCACTCCGGAATTTTCTGACCTCTTGACTTCATCTGGAATTTTAACTCTTGACGTTGAAAAGGCATTTGACAGACTTGAATGGGACTACCTCTGGGCCTTATTAGATCATATGGGACTAGGTGAATCTTTTATTGGTTATATTAAAGTTCCTTATGCAAATCCAGGAGCAATGGTGTTATCTGGTGATTCCTGCTCGCCACATTTCCCAATTTATAGAGGTTCCCGCCAAGGGTGCCCTCTGTCAACTTTATTATTTGTTTTATCTCCCGAGCCTCTAGCACAACAAGTACGTCAATCCACTAATACTGTCCCTATTACAATAAAGTCCAATTTTCATCATATATAACTCTATGCAGACGATGTGCTCCTCTTTATTAGTGAATTATCACAGTCGCTTCCTTATATTTTTAGGTTATTCATAGACTTTAGCAATATCTCAGGATTCAAAATAAATTGGCAAAAATCTGCACTCTTACCACTAAGAAATAACAGAGAGGATCTGACTCAATTTAATATTCCAAATGCAAATCAATTTAAATATTTAGGAATCAACATCTTTCCCAATTTAGAAACTATTGTTGAGAATTATTACACTGTATGTTTAGATAAGATTAGAACCAACCTAGGTAAGTGGATGTCAAAACCTATATCTTTTGATGCCAGGATCTCAATTATAAAAATGATGGCATTACCTTTAATTAACTTCCTGAGCTCCATGCTTCCTCTGAATCCACCAAAGGGATATTGGAATAGACTCCATAGCTTGATCAGTGAGTTTAAATGGAATAATAAAAAAACAAGGATCAAACTTATAACTCTCCAGAGAGAGAAATCAGCAGGAGGCTGGAGTGTTCCAGATTTTAAAGTTTATCATTGGTCATTTGTATTGCGTTCTATAAAATCACGGNTGCAAGAACAGAAATTTAAGTTCTTTTAAAATTGTCTGCCATCACTGTAACACTGCACAGCAAGTGTTCATACATTCAAGCCTCTCTCTCTTTTTTATTGAAAATGTTTTGGTAACCTGGAAGCTGGTGACCGACTATACTAACACAAATAATAAATGGCATTATCATACTCCAATATTCCACAATCATAATTTATTGCTTGGTGGTCGACCAGCGGCTTACTCAATATGGTCAAACAATGGGATTCACATACTTGGACAGTTATTTGATACTAATGGCCATCACACATTCGATGATTTAAAGGAACAGTATAATTTATGTTGTTTTTCTCGCTTTCTATATTTTCAGCTTCGCTCTGCCATGAAGACCTATGGTGTTCCATGGAACTCTGAGCTCCCTAAATATGACTTGGCAAAACAACTGTACAACACCAACACCAGGGGAACTGTATCAGCATTGTATGTTCAAATATTGAAGGCATCTTACAAACCAATGGCAATCCAAACATCTTGGCAGAATGATTATGACTCTGTCACTTCTGAAATAGCATGGAAAACAGTGTGGAATAATATCATTCAAGCTTCAAAAATCCTAATCACCAAACCATACACCTAAAGATTGTTCACAGAACTTATTTCACCCCCAGACTTAGACATTCAATGAAGTTGGAATCATCTCCTCTCTGCCAACTAGGTACGCAATGCTGCTTAGGTACCTTTACACACACTTTATGGATACCACTATAAGCATTGCTGTCCCCCATGTTGTTGTTTATTTGCACATTCAATATTCACTTTGCACTAAATATGTTCACTTTAATCCATTGCTCACTTTTTATCCACTGCTCACTAATATTATTATTATCATTTATTGCTGTTTCTTGTATTTTTTGTACTTTTTTCTGCATGCCTAGTTTTTTAAGTTTTTAAATACTGAAATCTTTAATTTGACTCTTTACCCTTGACTGCTGTAACACTGGAATTTCTCAATTGTGGTATCAATAAAGGTGTATCTTATCTTATCTTATCTTATCTTATCTTATCTTATCTTATCTTATCTTATATATTTTGGTAATGCCCTGGAGTACTGTTGTTTTGGTTACAAGTCACCAAATCCTTATCTAAAATTCTCAATAGGGAGGTCCCATGTTGCCCCGTACTTTGTTTGCTGAATGATAACTCTCAAATTTCTGTGCATGTCCTTACTTGCAAAATGGGAAAGTGTTGTTGTTTTTTGTTTTTGTTTTTTGTAGGACATGATGCATCCTTTTTTGTTTTTTTATAAATGGATACAGGACAATATGCCACTATACCCAAATGTATCGATGTGCAGGCACATCTACTGTCTGTCTGTTTGTCTGCCCTTTTTATGTTATCATAAAACTAAAAAAAATTGTTAACAAAAAAAATATCAGTGCGCAAGAGCATCAAAAGTTTTAGAGAGCATCAAAAGCTGTCAAGTTGCCAGTGAGACTCTTGGTCTTGTGTACTTTTATTTCTAATAATAATTTGATTTGAAGTGTTTTTATGCTTTAATTAGATAGTGACAGCAGAGAGAAGACATGAAATGAAGGAGCACCTGGCTGGATTTGATCTGTGTAAGTTACGATTTGTGGTTTGCATCTTGAACACACAGGGATGATCATCTTGTGTATATTTTCTGATTTAAACAATCATTTGGTTGACTTTATGCAGTTACTGCATTTTTTTTGCCACTTTTCATATTAAATTCTTACTGTGCAAAAAGATTAAGTATTTCTGTAATGCTAAGCTGTAAAATTCAAACTTCACAGTGTACATGCA